ATGATGCAGCAGAACGATAATCCGCCTCTCGAAAATCCCGAAAACTTAGGATCGATCCTAATATAAACGCTATTCAAAACCAGTAAGAACTTATTTCACTTGGAAGATTTATTTTGTTTTATTTTATAAAATGGAATAAATTGAATTTTATTTGATCCGTCTTCACGTCTACTGTGGGCAACCAAATACTTCTCATATTCAATTCATTTCCTCGCCTCCATTGTCTACGAAGATATTCCAAATTTAAGGAAGGCTTAGGTCACTCATTGAGGATTTTCATTTCATCCTAAATGTTGTAGAATGTTGGTGGAGCAATTCTCCCTGGAGTTCTGAGGTAGTCGGGCTGAAACTCTCCCAATTAGATTGCAGAGAGTGGTTTTTTTTCCGGACAAGTCCGGTACAAATTTTACGACCCCGGAGTGATGAGAGGCTTGGCTAGCCCAGGGAGAAATCGAATTGGTACCATGCTCGTGATGCGGGTACCACTACCACTGTGCTATCCGCCTGCTGCCATTATGAAATTACGCAATAGGCAGAGAAGTAAAGATGGTGCAGACCAGTGCCTCAAATTCTACTTTTCCAACCTTTTTGGGGAATGCCAATCCTAAAGTTGTCGTAGAAGAGAAATTCTACTTGCGAAGTTTTTGTAAAAATTCTATAAGTTTGTTGGATACTAAGCATAACCTGTTTTGCGGGTAAGAAGTTCGATGACAGCCTTTGCTTCGAGTGAGTGAAGGATCTTATTTAAGGCGATCAAAATGAGACAAAGCAGTGTTTTGCGTTCCCGCGGTATTTCGACACGTTTTATTGTCGTGTGGATGTGGTCTATCGTAATAAATCTTTTGAAAAACTTGATCGCTGAAACGGCTACCTTTCGTAAGCTGTTCACTGTCAATCGTGCCGAGGGTAACTCGAGTGTGGATAGATACTGGTGTGTTAAATGGGTAGTAGTTACAGACGCAGTGTAGTTTACACGTCTGTGCAACAGCATTTTCCTCGTGGTTTTTTACCGAGTTGAAACTACGCAGCTGAAGCAGTGTGTTGATGAAAACTGGTGATAAACTTGTTCGATCTTTGACTTCAGTCTTGTTCGGCCAAGGTACTGCACCCAACTAAGACGTAAATAACAGCTAGGACCAAGAAGAAAAGAACCGCTGAGGAACTATAGATCCTTTTTAACCTAAAGTGGTTGTCGAGCGAATGGGAGCATAAATGATAAATGATTTCTTCCACTGGTTTTTTAAATTTACACAATCATCTTGGTCTTGTGACTTCTTTCCGATAGTCCAATGTGCATCATGGATAGCTTTCAACCGAATGGAAATTTTTGGAGATTCTCTTGTTGTCTCCTTTGCCTTGAGTTTTCTTTTGCTGACATTCAAGTTATTAATTTCTTTAAAGCAATGGTGAAGATGGGTAAAGTTCAGTGCTTCACAACCGTTTAACTCTAAATGTTCGACTGAGCTCATGAGTCGGCCAGGAGAGTGACTGACAAAACTTGCGCTAATGAAGAGGCAAACGTCGCAGTGTATTCCATGAACTTATTTTCCTGGGTATGGTGCATCATATGGGGAAGCGGATGGCACAGTGGTAGTGATGTCCATCATCACGAGCGTGGTGGTAGTCCGATTCCGCTTCGGGTCTAACCAAGCCTCTCTCTCCGGTGTCGGGAAATTGGTAGCGGACTTGTCTGGCAAAAAATAACTCTGCGATCCAATTGGGAACGCCCCGTCGCGTATCCCAATACTCCAGGAAAAATTGCTCGACAGGCGTTCTGTAACATTAAAGATGAAATGGTAATCCTCAAGCAGCAACCGAAATCAAACGTAAAGGTTGGAAGGATTTTGGGGACAGTGGATCCGAGGAAACGAATCGAATGTTAGAAATGTTGGGATCCGCACAGAAGACGGAAAAAATAAAATAAAATGGTGTCTAATAAACACTGTTGGTTTTCCTTGCTTGCACCATCAAGTCTTTAATGTATTATTTCAAGGTGAGCACCATTGTAATTCTGGATCTATACAACCTAAGGCCACTTTGTGATTAAAGCAGACTCTTCGTACTTGTTCTATACGACGTTGGCGTAACATAGTCTCTTCGTGTGGAGGAATACAGAGAAAGCCCGCCTTTTGGAGGCTTTTGTTATGAAAAAATATGAAGTCCCTTTTGCGGTAATATGCTGCATAACCTTACTACTTGGTTTGTTAATGCCTATTACATAAGCGTGCTCTTGAACTGTTGTGGATGCTTCTACTTTAATTAACGTCCTGAAGTAGTCAGCATCTCATCCTCCTCAGGCTTCTGATTCTCAAGATTCCCATTTTTGTCACGACACATTTTGAACAAATTCCGTACCTCCTCTCATGTTCTTCTGACCAGGTGTAACGCTGATATTGCTAAAGTTCTGGCAGCTTCAGGAAAAAAATTGGATTCATAGGAACATTTTCTGAAACTGCTAGTTTTAGCTCAAAATCTTATCTCCCCAAATTAAGTGAAATTTGGTAGAGTAGGTTAATACTGGGATGAGAAATTAAGCAGAATCGGCTCTTGAAATGGTTACAATGGCGATTAGTTGAACAATAATGATTCCTGAAGCATTTTTTCATTGATGAGTTAAAAAGAGGTTGGTAAAAAAATTCTCACTCGGCTAACGTTTCGGCGCATAGCCTTCTTCAGAGCTAGATTGATCCGAGTCGGTTTTCCATAGTTTTTCCTTCTTCCCATGTGAATCGTCATGGTCGAATCGAGTCAAATCCGGCGGAGCATCGCCTGAATGAAGTAACCTCACTCAGCGGTACTCAGTTATACTGGACTGTTGTTGAAAGTGATAGCTGTTGATAATCGCTTTTTTCCGCACTATCCCTCCTACGACAGTCGGCATCATTGTCATCTAGTATAAAACGTAGCATTGTTTCTAAAACCAGCCTTCTTTGAACCTGGACGGTACCATAAACATGTATTCGAAATAATTCATTGTTTTGTTGATTAACAAGAATGAGTTTTTTTTGCTACAGCATTTATTCTTTTACAATAGCTGATGTTTCGACGGCTTCGCCTTCATGGGTGCCTGGAAAGGTCATGTTAACCGCAACTTAGCCAAACCTCAGCGGATAAAACGCAATACACGATTTCTCAATCGCATCAAACAGCTTCTTTTAAACACTGTTTATTTCATCTCGTGTTTGCATTTTTGTGTGAGATGGGAGAGAGGAGGGGTAGTGAACCGGTATGTCTTTATTATTACCTGACTTTCGTTACCAGTTGGTGATGCAGTCGTTAACGAATGGGTTAATTTGAACATTCGGAAGCATAGGCCACTTTCTTTCAGCTTCTCTCAGGTGAACGCTGAAACTTTATATAATATTGTACTGAATAAACCTTGCTTTAATTACAACCTCTTGATTGCTCATCAAAAAAATAGTGAGTTACTGGTCAATGCTAAGGTCAAAAAAAAGTCACTCCTCGGAATTGAACTTGAAATAGTTCGTGACTTCACCTGCGTCACCTGCCGTCCCGCTGATCGTCGAGTGAATCGAGAGAGTACCAATGAATCGTCTATTTCTCTCTGTTGTATGCGAGAGCTACTCAATGGATCGCGCTCGTTCTAGGGGCTCATTGAGCGGCATACCTTTTTCAAGGGTTTCCGTGAAGAACTCTTACCATCAGGGAGGGGGTCGTCTTGCGGTAAGTTTAACATTCCGAGGAATCCAATCACTAACGGTTCTTGTCCATCAGGTTCGGTCGCATTGAATGTCCCGCCTGCCTCATCTTCGACAGCTTAGCGTAGAGAAGGGCATCTACGACTTTTAATCGCTGACGCAGGTTCGCAGGTTGGAGCTTCGGATCTCTTGCTTCACTTGTTTGATACCGCATACTCTTCACATCGCGATCAAGTTTCTGACGCGTACATTAAGGCAAGGAGAATTGTGGAATCGAAAAGGTGGGCACGGTGTTGGGTGTTCTTTTGTTTTCTTCGCTACATCCTCGATTCTTTTCAAAGCTTTCCAAGCCGCTCGTTTGCTTTTGCTCAGCTCTGGAGCTAAGTGGTTCATCACGTTAATTTAGCAATCTAGATAGACGTAACTGAAGTAATTGGAGATATTCATTACGTTGAGGGTAAATAGAAGATACATAACCAATCCGTTCCTCTTAAAAAATCGTTTTTGTAAGATTTAATTGAGGCCAGTTTTTCTACAGGTTTTACCAAACTCGACAAGCATTCGTTCAGCATGGTTAATGCTTGGTAGATGGAAGTACATGGTGGACCCAGTCGTCTTCAACGAGCGTTTACCACTCCTACACTGGATATGCTCTGCGATAATGTTTGGGTACCGTCTCGCTACTTTCCCTAAAACAACAGAAACGAGAGGCTTTCTACTGATAGGTGTTCGAGTGACTTATGCATTATGCAGCTGACAAAGACCGTTATGGTTACCGAATGGATAACATCAGATTCCTTCTTTATGGACACGCAACACTGCGGCGCTAATGAAGACGAAGAAACCGAAATATCACCCACAACAAAATTTTGTGACGACTTTATTTTATGCTCGTCACCGAAACGATGTGCTATGACAACAATTTTATTCAATTTGAACAAAGTTTCTTAACAACCATCCAAAAATTTCTCATCTTTCGTGAATGGAATTATGTCAACGACTAATTAAAATAATAAGTATAAATTAACATTAAATGTATCTATTGACGTCATCAGTTCAGTCAGTCAGATATATGCAGCCGAGAAACTGTAATAAAGTAGCAGCTCTTACAATATGCGAACTGTGAAGAAAGATCACGCTAAGCACCCTAAGTTTCTTGTAAGTGATCAATCGGAAGCAAAATCAGCGAAATAGAAGAGAAAAAACGAAGGAGGAAAACATGCAATGACAAGTTCGACACGAAAAGCCAAAATCATATGGGAAACACTGACAACATTGGTATTTCGACAACATTGAAAGGGCTTGCTTGGAGAATTTCATTACAAAAAAGGGAGAGGTTGCTCAGAACGGAGATCTTACATGTTTGTTTGCCGATCCCGTTCGATGCTCACCACCTAGGGTGTAGTACCCGGAGGGATCGTTCGGGTAAGAAACGTACGGTGTGGCCGACGGCGGGCGGAGGACGGCCATCGCTTCTTCGTGCTGCTGAGAAGCAGGTTTCGAACCAACCTGTCATTAAATACTTACATTATTTGGATGCAACAACTTTTCCCTAGCAATGAAAACAACATAGCTCTCGCCATTCGCAGTATCTGGATCCAACAGGAAATACCAGTGAGAGAAAACGAGTTATTCAAAAAGCTTGGAAATTTACACACCATTTATGTGACGAGAATTTTACGTGGGCAGAGTCTATAGTTCTTAGCAAACAATTACTATTTTACCACAAACTATAGACAGGGTTTGCAAGAATTATCAACTAGATTGATATATGAAGATCATAGAAAATTTGTGAGATTGTTATCTGTTAGTGAGGCGACGTTCGCCTTAAAAGAGTATCAGAATAAACGTTGTATATCAGAGGTCCTATATATAGAACATCTGTGGTTCAGTGGTCGGAGGCGCCCTGCAATACACACGGATTCCTGCGCCATTGGTTCACCAAACCTTCCATCCCTCCGTAGTCGGCAAATTGGCACCAGACTTGTCTGGGTGGATAGCAGTACTGGCTCGGTAGGCCACCGCTAGTCGTTGTAAAGGCCAGATATGGATTCAATCGCCTCCGAACGATGCTTAACGAAGTCGAGTGCTCGGCGCATCTCCTAGAAATTGGTCGACGCCGAGAGGCTTATCTTTTAACTCTTTATATCAGAGGTCATAGAAGATTTCAGTTCTTCCATGGAATTCCTATACACGCCTCCATGCTTAACTTTTCACAGTCGCCTATTTCACACAGGTTTTTTAAACCTTCCGTTTTTATCATTATGACATATTCTTGATTTGACACAGCTAGGTAATAACTTGTCGCAGGATTCGCTGCTGTGCAGGAAGAATTCGAGTCGCAGAGAAGAAAACCTCGTTTCTATTTACAAAAGTCGGCGACCGACTTGAGGGGAGACCTGGGAGTACTCTAGCACAGCTACCTAAGCTTTAAAAGGTAAACTACTAGATTCTGAAGTTGCAAACGCACACAAATTCGATGACCGTTATAAATGACGGTTGCAACGCAGCGGAATAAATTGGGGAAGTTAGTGCCTGCCTAAGATGAATCACTTAAATATTTGTTTACGAGGTAAGCTGGCTTATAAAAGAGTTCGGCTTTTTAACAATTTCAATTGTACGAATACCTTCGAGTACCACTCGTGATAGGTGGTTTCTCCTATACCTACAGGTGTTGCATCGAGACCATCGGCCGACGGAGGGCTTCCGCTAGGCTTCGTAGAAGCGGTAGTGGCTTGCGAGTAGTGACGTTGGTGAGTGTGGAATGCGGCGTTATCGAATCCAGCAGGTGCCTTCGCTACTCCTACAGCATTATTATTGTTAGACATGCAGAAGTTCTTCAAAGAAAGCATCACATGAAAGCATTTTGGAAAAAAGATTTTTTTAAGAAAACGTTAACGGTAAGCAAATGCGGTTCAGAGGGCGGGAAGAAAAAACTGTCTGAAAAAAAAGCGAAAACAAAAAGTGATGCACTAGGTAGCACGGAAAGGGTAATCTCGGGTTTGAATCTTCTCTGGGCTTCAAGTTTTGCGAATATCTCAGTATCACAGCGGCTGTATTTCACATTTTACCCAGCCATGAAAAATAATAATAGGCGGAAAATTAAAAGCTAACATTCTCATTTCAACTACAGCCTCAGCTTAACTGGGTTAAAACCGATGTGTACCCCTCAGGCCATTCCCGTTGACGGATGATTGCTGATGGTACCGTTAGCTAGAAAACTCGGTGATTGAAAGGCAAATAAAGAACCTTAGTGGTGCAATGGTTAGCATGTGAGCTCCTCGGGAAAAGCGTACTCGCGGGTTCGAATCTGGCCGGGTGTCCAAGTTTTGCAAATATTCAGCATTGTAGTGTTTTCTATCAAAAAGATTCATAAAAGTGTAAAGGTAAATGAAAATGTACCGTTCCCATAAAAATAAGGCGCAGGATGCTGGACTGGATACGAATCCTGAACTAACCAAGGTAATTTCAAACACAAATAGAGCTAAGGAGTACACTTACAAATCTTGATGTCCTTCGTACACGACAGAGAAGACAACAAGTACAAAGAACAGCGAACAGAAGCAGCAGTGTGGAAGCAGCTATGACCACCAAATTTCGTACATAGGCTGTTCCGTGCATTTCGTCTTCCTTGCTGGTGGACGCTGTAACTGCCGAGTAGCTTTGCATGCACAGAAAATGGCACAAAATGCTCGCTTACCGGCGAGATTCGCCTTGATGGTGCTCGGTTCGATGCTCAAGTCACCAATATTTCCACGAATAGCATTTTCTTCGACGAGACTCTTTATCTCGATAGGACGAGGAACATCAGCCGTAGAGACCACCTAAAAGTAGTAGTATCGTATGTTTTTTCTTTCCAATAGTTGTGGTTTTTAAAGGTTTAAATAGCTAATGAGGCAGACAAATATTTCTACTCTTTAGTTACTACATTAAAAGTTGAACTAGTGCAGCTTCGATGAGTTAAAACTGCCAAGAAAGATTAAAGAAAAATGGAAATGGCGAAATTAAGAAAACAGGAATCACTTCAAATTCTACAATTACAGATCCTTTATAGTAGCCCAAAAGCTTCGACACTTGCATACCCTTCCATCGCTTCGCCAACAGCCCATTGACCTGAAGGTACCATATTTGGAAAAGAGTAGAAAACGCGAAGGAGTCATAGATGATGATGGAATACAAACCGCGGAGGTGACCGTCTTTGTAAAGCTTTGGTAGTATTCTGACTGTGGATCAGCCAACGCTGGAACGTACATCTTGTTGAGAATTCGAACGCGAAGAACGTAACGAGATTTAACTGGCTCTGTCGGTTCGTATACAACGAATGGAGCTGAATAACACTAAAGCTTAAAACAAACCTTAAGGCAAGAAAGAATCTTTATTCAGATCGACTTTAGTTGAAGTTCTTAGATATTTCAAGTTTGCTTTTAAGACTAGCAAAATTTTCCAGTTGTTATAATTTGAGACTATGTCATTATAAAAAAATTTATACGACTTGGTTGATTAACCCTTGGCGACATTATGCTGTAGGGAAAATCGAACGCATAGGAAGGAACTGACCATAAAGCATTGTTAAAATAAAACATATGTGAAGGTAAAAAATATTTCTGGAGTCTTTACTTCCAAAAACTCTCAAAAACCAAAAAGAGAACAAATTTTTTCGTAGCGTAAATTATAGTCCTATGAAAACTTGTGTGCAAATTCTTAAATAATTTACGCGACGCTTTGATGACAGGTGGAATGAGAACTTTTGTTGTTGTCCTCGGTGATGATTCTATGTGTTGCTTCGGTTTTGGCGTCACCACCTCCTTGACTTCCTTACTCTCGTCTTTCGGTTCAGGTTTGACCGTCTTCGACGGCATTTCCGAGCAGGTGTTCAGGCACACCTATAATTCAATCGATAGGCAACTAAATAAGTTACAAATTTGCTGTATATGACTAATACCACCTTCCAAAAGTAGCCCTTGGAAGGCTAATGTAAGGTGCGCAGAATAATAGGTCGAACCAGTGTGAAGGTAATGAAAATTCGTGCCATAAGAGTGGAATAATACAAAGGAATAACATGAGGATGAAAGAACTGTAAAAATTTTGCTCGGTTTTATGATTTCCCTTTCTTAGTGCTTGGCTCCATGGGCGTAAATGGCATCGAAATTGGCGGAAGCATTTGTTAGAGTGGACGGAAAATATGATAAAGACGTTAAACGAAAACACCAAGAAGAAGCACTGGTCTGCCTTACTTAGTCGCACCATCATTTTCCTCATTCCTTATCGCCGAAGTGTCAATGAATAGGAAGTGAGGAAGTGAGCTTAATGTGAAATGTTCGTTCGAAGCGACATCACGTCCGTCAAAATTCTTTCCTTGCTCTCCACCAGTTAGAAAAGTAAATGGAATATCTCCAGACGCAAGCCATGAAGAAAGAACCCATAAAAAGCACAGTGATGCTGAGATATTTGCAAAAATCCGGACTGAAATTGTCTAGGGTGAGGAACGAACACGCAATTACACTTTCCAGGGCCTAACGCGTTGACCACCACTGTGTGTATTCGTCGTTTCACCGGTTTTCTATCTACTAGTTCCATTCTATCAGGAATCTCTCATAGATAGGTGGGTGTATTTCACAAATACCTTGCTGTGAAAAATTGTTGTAGACAGTAAATAAGAAAGATAACTCATAAGAAGCCTTCACATGTTCAACACCAATGACTGGCGCATATTGCAACGTTCGAGATTTCCAACCTTCGTTTTACTGGCGATTGGTGTCTCTCCATGCTTCCTGATCTCACTATTTGGTTCGATTATATTCGCAGTTGGCGTGAACAGTAGATGAACACACTTTCTTAAGTCGATGTCATTCTGATCTTTACTGTACAATTCGCGAGAGAAGTTTGTCACAAGAATTCCACTATTCCATGACGTCTAAAAACGAGAAATTTTTTGTGGTGCTTCTCAATTTAACGCTACAGTTCTCGGTGGTCTTTACCTCAACATCGAATATATCTTGCTGTTCGTCCACCACAGGACGTCCATAGTCGACCATAAACTGATCTGTTACGGTGACTTCTTTCTCTGGCTCCAGTCTGATAACTATCACATCGGATCCGGCCATCAATCCATCCGGAGAGAAGCCAACTGCAACCCATTGTGAAGCTTCCATGACAGCCTAAAAGTATTTATAACCATATCATTGTGATAAATGGTAAAAAAAATTGCTAAAACTGATACTGCCCTCAAAAAACACCACAATAATATTTTTCGGTTTTTGGAGTAATAGCAAACATGTAAAGGGCGCGTACGGCACAGTGGTCGTAGGCATTTTAGAACATGCACGTGGAATAGATCTCCGCCCATATGGCCCACCAAGCCCTCCATCCCTCCGGAGTCGGCAAATTGGTACCAGACATGCCTGGGAGGATAGCAGCACTAACTCGATACATCGGCAGGCCACCGCTAGTCGTTGTAAAGGCCAGATGTGGATCCAATCACCTCCAAACGATACTTAATGAAGTCGAGTGCATGGCGCATTCTTTAGGGAATGATCAACGTCGAAAGCTTCATCCTTTTATCCTTTAGAACACAAATACGAAGTGAGAGAATATCAGGAGACATTCTACAAGAACGTGAACATTCCAATGCCTAAGTTCACTGAGACGCAAAAATCACAACCCTCAAAAGTTCGGAAGTGTAGTTTGAATTTCTAAGTTTTTATGAACAGCAATGTAAGAAATATTTAAATAATTTTCTAATAAGTGTATAAAAGCACTGAATCGCTTTTACACAAATTCGAGCCAATTCTTTGTAAAATAATAGATGTGCAGTGCTTGAACGATCTGAATCACCATGTCACCAACCTTCACACTGAAACGAGCCACTTCTCCGTCACTGATCCACTTGACGACGTATTGGCACTTTTTTCCTGGTTCTTCCGCTACACAATTAGCTGGGAAGGCATAGCTTCCCGAACAAGTCGACGCATCGATGTGCAGACCGTGGATAAGTTTTTCGTTCCTCGGTTCTTAAACAAACCTTTATTAATCCATTGTTCGTGTTATCAGCACTTGTTTGTTGCTAACCGAAAGGCAACGTTAGTAAACGAAATGGATAAATATTTAAACTCTATCGAAGGATATCAAAGAACCCATAAGCTTTAATTGTAAGAAATAGTGTGGGTCTAGAAGGAAATGAAATCAGTATTTTTTCCTCCGAGACGATTTTTGTTCAATTTTTCGAGCTCGGAGAGATACTACGGGCACCGGCATCACGCTTCTATGCGTATACAGCAGTGGACCACTAATCACAGCGTTTTTGCGTCCCTTGTCACAACAGTACCCTAGTGTCATCAACTACTCAACAATATTTTAGTGGTTTGACCAGAAGTTGAAAAAAGTTGTACGTCCACATAAAGGTAAGCAATCTGTTCTATCCGTCTTCATCCCCTATGGTTCCTACCTCATATCCTTTTTCAGTCCTAGAAGTATTGAAAATTCTGTTTCTTTTTGCATCTCACCAACCCTAAGAGCTTTTTGGAGCTGTTCCTAATGATAATATGCAAAACCTTGTAAAAAGTCGATGGTAAGGATTCCACGCTGATTACGACCATGGTATTTGAGTGCGTTGTTGGTAAAAAAATTAGGATCGGCTTGGATTGGTGGACCTAAATAGATCGAAAAATAAAGGCTTTCCCAGTAAAGAGATTACAGTCTTCACTGAAAAAAATAGTGAGACGAATGCTTCACCTCCTGTTGTGTGTTGGTAATTGCTCGGCTTGACACCTTTGGCCCAAATCACAGTCATCGGTCCCTCTATGGAATGATCCCATTTATCAGTGGCTGAATATAGGAAATATCTAGGGAGAGATAAATTGACAGTTCATGGCAGTATGAACACCTTTCAGTTTTTTTCGAAACACCATCGTCGTAATTCCGTCTTCGTTGAATGCTGCAGCAGCTGTAAGAGAATCACTCCCACCGAAAGTTGAATCCGATCGCGGAGTAGCCTTAATGGAGTGGAACCATGTTGCTATGACACTGTAGTATTTTTAATACTTGTTCATTCTCAATATTCTCTCATTAATAGATCTTTCTTCATAACCAGTGGATTTCTTCCTCGTTTGTTTTTCCTTTCTTTTGCAAAATACACTTACTTGGCCTAAAATCTAGGTGATATACATTTGCAGAGGGTACTTAGGCATAACGCACGACACTCAAATTTGGTAGCCATGTGACAGCTTCACAAAAGAAAACTCGGCCAATTAAGGTGCCGTAAAGAACAAAATTCCTCTACTTTTAAGGTTTTGATAGCTTTAGTGATTTTTTGACAACAGACTGTAATTTTTCTGTGGTTAGAGGTGAATTGAAACAAGAAAGACGAGAGCAAGACGTGCGTATAGAAGAGGTTTTCGCTTCATCGATCTTGATGTAATTTATCCAACAGGATGATTATCAACATTTGGGAGTACTGTAATGTTGCGACCTATTTTGAGTGCACTTCGGTATGTTTTGCATATATGAATCTTATACGGTAATCACGACCCAAAAAAGTGCAAATGCCAATGGAGTGAATTACTCTAAAAAACTAGACTTTCATGTCGATAGAACTAGCTGAGAGACAGAGAGACAGGCGAAACGAAGGACTCGCATGGTGTGGTGGTATAGGCGTTATTCCCCAGAAAAAGTAGTAGTGTGTTCGTTCCCCACCGTGGACACTTGCGGTCCAGGTTTTTGCAAATATCTCAGCATCATTGTCGTTGAACTTTTAGTCACCCGCAAACGTTGCTTAATGGAGTTGAATGGGTGGTGCATCCTTCAGGGATTGATTAAAGCCGAGAGTCTTATTTTTTTTCATCATCCTTCATGATTCCGGAAAAATGTTCTGGAAGGTCTACCTGGTCGGTGTAGAGAACACGCCGACTGTGAGACTTTCTGTGCTTGCTCCGTCAGTTTCTTGTTTCGTTTTGCTCTTTCTTCGTCACACCTTCCTCTGCTACAATGGTACTGTTTTCTTCCCCTCTAATTAATCTTCTTGGTTATGGTTTTGAATTATTCTTACTGATAAAGAACTTAATATTATAGACCTCAGACATGTCAGTTGAAGACGGCTTAAACTTCGAAGTTCCACTTTTCATAAAGAGTAAAGCTGAAGATGTAGAGAATAAACCTCTTGTACCTTACGCTGAAGAGCATGAAGAAAGTAAATCGGATTGCCGTTTTCTTTTTTATCCCAGCCTGTTTTACGATAAGATTCAGGTTCAAAGGTCTGTTAGCAAATCCTCATCCAACGCCGGAAACGGAATCTATAACCGGCAAGACAGGTTGCCCATGATTAGCCTACTAATCGAATATTTCAACAGGAGCAGCAAAATATACCATCTTTGTATACCAAAACCCTACAATGAATAGCAGGGACGAATGCCCGGAGGTCATACGCGACCTGATCCCGTACGTTCGCATCGATTTTTGATGTGGGATGGTGCAGTCGTCAACCACATGCGACTATAATCAGCTGTTCTAAACTTCCTCATTGGAAGTCACGAAAAAGCGGTGGGTTTTTTCGAGAGGTTGTTGATCATGTAATTACCAGAGAGTCTTTCGTCTTTGTGTAAGTGTTATTGAAGCGTTTGGCCTAGTAGATTGTATATCAGCATACCCTTCCAGGCTCTGAAGAAGGCGATACTGCCGAAACGTCAGCTAGCGTTGTATTGTATTGTGTTTTTATGGAAGTAAATGTATGCTGTTTAAAAACCTCGCGATTGCTGAACAAGAAAACGACACATTCATATACCATCTTTCATGAGCATTCTTCTTGAAGTAGAATCGCACTACGCCGACATACGACGCACAAAGAGTACAAGTACGAACTCAAATTATTCCATGTAGTTTATCGGTGAGAAGACACACATTGCAATCGTGTGCGAATGATAGATAGTTGCACATGCAGAGTTCCGGTAGCCGTCTCTCTATAACTGTAGATGTGGCATAATACGAAGTAATGAAGCTTTTGTACAATTTCCTCGATGAGCGAAGGCATCTCTATACCGATAGTAGTTCTGTCTATGTCTGCTTAAGGGAGAATTAATGACGGTCCCATCCTCTTGACGTCTGTAGGATGAACAGGAAAGGAATTCCCATGAAGATAAGTCACTTGATGCTGTAGAGAAGGCATTGAAGAGCATAAAAAAATTAGTGTAATAGTGCTAAAGTAGAAATATAAGGTGCACTCACAATGTTATACCTTTTTATTTTCTGCCTACTATAATTTCGCGGCAGGGTACTAAGCGAAATACAACCACAACGTTGCTGAGATATTTGCAAAACTCTGGACCGCAGGTGTCTATGGTGGGGAACGAACGTGCTATTGTCCTTTCCAGGGAGTAACGCGTTCACTACCACACCATGCGGGTCCTTTGTTTCGCCTGTCTCTCAGCTATTTCTATCGATCTTTGCCACAGCAATCACCCGTCAGCGGGATTGATCTGGGGTGCCCAAAAATAAAAAGGTATAACATTGTGATTTCAACTACAGCCGCATCATTATCCATACCCATTTACCTTTAGTGAGACGGTAAACTACTTTCGGGTAGGAGGGTGGGGCATGGTAATGAAAACATAGATTCATTGCATTTGTATCGTGTGTTTCAAAATTTTTGAGGAAGTTTGAGAAATGACGAATGTGGGACACGTTTCCTAGCTGGGTTTTGCAACAGGCATTTATTTGCACTTTTGCAAAATCGCCGGCAACTGTATGCTTGAAAAAATATTTAAATACACCAGAAATTTCTACAGCCCGGATATTCCCATTTCGGCAATCCCCAGATTTGACTAAAGCTAATCATCTCGTTTCTTCCGCTCGTGTTTCTGTCAGAGACGAGAATTTTCGATAAACTGCAGGCTTCTGCTTTGTTTCGTTCCGTAAATTTATATTAATGGATTGCACTCGCTAAGTTTTGTACAAGAAGTTAATCAGACCTTAGACGGGGAATAGAAATCTTTCACTCGTGCGCGACCATTCACCATAGTTCCAACCACCATATCCGTACATTCCATTGCGTTTGCTTGAAATCAAATCATATCAAGCGGCCTCATTTGGAAGAATATAAGATTCAACTTACGTTCAAGAGGATTGAATAACTTTGTTTCAGTTGTACCAGCAGTGCTAACCGCTTCCCTTCGTTTGCGTAGTCGTGTGGAAATTTGTTTTCCACTAGCGTCACAGATGCAAATTTTCTTGTCGGAAATTCGTGGTTGGTACAAATCATGATAACCTGTGGAAAGAGTGAAGCTCAAAAGCTCTGAAGAATTTATAAACAAACAACGGGCTTCAATATTGTCCTATTATTCCCTTCACATACCAATGGGAGTTCTCGGATTGGTGAAGTCACTGCTTTTCCTTGCTAGAACTCGCCCGCCACCAACAGGGAACATGAAGTACCAACACTGATCGAGTGGAAAATCTGTGAGTTGATCTTTCGAATGAACGGGTCTACGAAACCAGAACGTCTGGAAAAAGAGCAGGTCTCTTTATTTGTTAAAGTCAGGCGACCAATTTAATGTTTAAGCAAAAAAGATAAACAGACATATTTAATGTTAGAAAGGATGAAAACCTCAAGGTCATACTCGGTAAAAGAGGTAGGAATGTCCTCTTTACATTTACTGAATTCTTTCTGCCACGCATTTTGCTTTCTATCATCCTTCACTTATTTTCCTATAAGTTATATTTTTAAAGCTTTAAGAGTGATAGAACTCTGCTGCACCTGTGTTTCGTCTTCGATTCTTCCTCCGATATCATAAATATTTTGGCGGTCTGCCGGATCAATGGCAGGAAGTTGCCTTCCGTAGGCAAAACGATCTGTTACGAAGGCTTTGCCTTCAAACACCCAACCAGTGTATATATCCGAGTTCGTCATCTGACCGTCCCTAAAAATATCTGGAGGCAATTAATCAAAATCTCCTTAGGATTCTTCGCTTATAAGAGTGGATCATGCTAGTCTCTTAGGAAGCCGTATTACAAAGGACTTCAACGACTTTAAAACTGAGCCGAACCATTTCTCTACGAAGCGCAATATAGTCGTACACTAATTCACACAACATACTTGACCGACATAAACCTACTTGGAGAATCCGATTCCGGTCCATCGACCAATGTTCTTACTAGAAATCTGGAAGCGAACGTCATCCTTGGTGCTGTCATAGGTCCACGAGGCCACATACTCACATTCATCGCCGGAACACTTGGGCGGATATCGGAAGGAATTCTCGCAAATTGGCTTGTCTATAAATCGTCGTATCGAAGCGCAGATGATTCGAACATAACAAATTAAGCGAATTTCGAAAGCCGATATAAATATTACTGACTAGAGGTTTAAATTTAATGTGCGCTCTCTTTTCCGAACTCACCACTATTGTTTTTCTTCTGCTCTCTACAGCTCCTTATACAGACTTCTTTCTCCGACACCAAGGGTGTGTTAGTATGAACCGTGATATTTCCACTCTGCAAATAAACTCCAGTTTTTTTAAACAATTAAAATCATATTTAGCACTTCAAACAAACTTCGTCAAGCTTTCCTCCAGACACTGGAAACATCATCCTCCAACATTCGTTGCTAAACGACTTGTCCTTCTTGTCCCCAGTGTTTCTTTTTCGCATAAATTGAGCTCGCAGCACTCCATTCGCATGAGTTCCGATCTATAAAACTTTTCTCATAATTTTTCAAACTATGCAATGGCAATTATAAGTTTCATGTGTAACTTGGCAAATTTTTATATTCAATAACCCTCGAACCCATTAAAATCCTCCTGCTGAAAGTTCTTTTAGCTTGTAGATTTTCCCAAGCACCTCAGCACTTTAAAGCAGATGTAGTTTTTAACATTACTACAGGCCTTACTCATCCACAGGCTCTGTTGAAAGAAATCATACCACGTTTGGAGTGAACAAATCTTGTTGTTCTTCTCTTGTCGGAGCTCCATAGCCGTCGCTGAACATATCGTGCAGGCTGAGAACACCACCAATGGATTTCACAATGAGCATATCGGCATCCACTTAAAAACACCGAATTAGAATTCCGTAGGTTTCGTGTAAATTTCAAAATGAAAATGGATTGCGAAGAAGGCAACTAGTTTCCCACATCAAAGCGAAAATATCGAAGGAATCAAGCGCTCGCTGGTTAGGAGTGTTAGCGATTGTTGAGTAGTTCGACGCTCTAGCAATGTGCAATGAAATGAGGCAACATTGAAAACTCGAAACTTCTGTATATTCGAAAAGAGAAGTATGAACAAATAACGAGGAAAAAAACGAGACGAAACGAAAAAACTGTCTGCTACCATTTTCAGTTGAACATTAGCTCACAAACAATATTTCTTTCCTGAGCCCAACTGACCATTACCTCCACGATAATGATAATATCGTTTATAAACCAGTTAGTCTAAAATTTCTAAATATTTTTTGGTTCAAATATTTTGCTCTAATATGGGCAGATGTTTAAAATTGTTCTCTAAAATTCGAGAAGCATTTAAAGAATTTGGTGAGGAAATATGTAAGTAAAAATCTCCAAGAGAAACCAAGAGACAACGTTTCGGCTATATCTAGCTCGAAGAATGAAACTTATCATGGAGCCATCCTTGCTGAGTCCGAGCCCAGTCCATGAATTTGACTGGAGCTTTGTTTCGAGGGAGAATTCGATTTCGTCTGATTCGTCCACGTAGTTCCATGTAATTTTGTAATCGCAGTCCGAGCAACCGGTCGGAAATCGGAAATCACCATAGCAAACATCGCCTCCTACTGAAATTTCTACATTAAACCGACAGATTAGCATTTTAACATTCCTTGTTAGGAGTTCTTGTGGATATGAAAGTAGCGCTTGTTAAAGGAAATCATAGATATCCGACGCCAGATAGATGACGTTATTTTAGTCAAAGTTACCCATGGGTATTGAATTGTCTTACTACATGCCAGCATAGTTGTATAACATAACACATTCTACGAACAATTTCTCCAAAGGCAGTCTCCATATGGGAAGACGGAAAAATCGTTATTTAAAACAGAAGCAGGACTCCACCAAAAATCTTTAAAGATTGGCTGGTGTTTCCTCAACATTTCCTCAATCCTGTGAAAATAACAATAAGAAAACAATTTGGGAAACTACATAATTCACGTGGTAACTTTCACGACCATAAATTAGAATAGTTCTTTTCATTATTTAGGAAAGGAATCCTTGAAAGTACCTTTCGGCTTTGAATTTTTCTCGGATTTGCGAGAGGTTGTCGAAATAGTGGTGGTTGGGTGAGTCTGAGTTTGCATCGCTGAAACATGTTCTTATAGTGTGCCAACAAAAATACGCGTTAAAATTTGCAATATTTCACTATGGATGCAAACCTATACGCTAATCCTTTCTTTTATGTTATCACCATAGAGACTCCGTGGAGAGAGCCGTTGGTGCGTTTCAGGGAGACTTACCGTCAACGGGACAATCTCCCCAGTAGACACACACGCCCTGCGAGTTTCGGGCATAGCCCTGCATGCAGGTGCAGGCAGGGGTTCCACAGTCGTCGCAGTCGGTACGGGTGAAGATCGTCACACAGTCCGCCTCACATGCTTTGCCACACTCGGCGACTGTCTCGTTCACTGCACACGTCAGATTCTCGAAGCTCGACGTTGTCGTTGTCGTCGTCTTCACGCTTGTCCGTGTTTGCAGCGGCAAATCCACTGCAAGGCACATTCTTTACCATGAGGCTGATCGCCTGTTTGACTCACATCAGAAATTTACCATGTGGTCACCCAGCTGAGCACACGCGCGTTTGCGAATAACAAATCAGTGTCCGATATACCGAATTAGCTAAGCAAGTCATTACTCAGCGACATGTATATTTACATTTCTAAGAATTTCATAATGGAGCACGAAATCGTTGATGCTTCATTACCCCGCTGGTTTCTATCAAAAATTCAACCATATTCTATACTTTTCCATACGTTTTTATTGCAACAATTTCAGTCACGAAAACGAACCTGTGACTGCAGATGCTTGGTGGATGCCGACGTCATCGATGCTTTCTGTTGCCTCATGGAAGTGGCTGTCGATGTCTACAGCGAAAGAAGTAACTGCGAGCGAACTACTGCCTTAGTAACTAACTAACTAACTAGCTAACAACTAATTAGTAATTCTAGTTACTCTAAGCAACGGTCAACACTGTAATTATACAAATAACCGTTTTGTTGTTTGCTCTACACAAGAGGAAATGGACAAATGTTTGAGCTATTGAGTGAATAGTCAGAGTACATTACGCTTGACCGAGAACAACCGGAAGAAAACCAGCTTCCACTTCTGAACCTCCAAATTGACCAATTAAAAACGACTACTTAGTTAAAACTATAAAAAACTACATCACCAAGTGGTAACGAAGGTCAAGTGACAAAAACATATCAGTTTATTACCTCTTCTCCCACCCGTCACACACAAAAATGGGACTAGTGAGAAACAAGTTTCGAATAACCACCAGCTTGTGCACAATGCACAAGAAGAGAGTTCAAGGAGGAATCGCGGAAATTGGCGCGGCAAATAGTCATTTCCAATGGCTACGAAACCATAGGTCCTCGGGAAAGGCGCAGACGAAAACTTAAGCCCTAAGCAACAAGTCCAGCGCTAATAAGGTCCCGTTTATCCCGTCCTTCACTTCAAACAACATAAGCGCACCTATAAAACGTTGTTAAAGGAGGGCCGATCTAGACAATTCTGTAACAGTAAATGTATTACTACCGAGCATTCTAGGACGTCAGTTAGTTCGCAACCGCCTGTGTGACCGTCTATGTATAAAGCAAAATTGAATAATGCGCCCTAACAGTGGAGACGGTGAACGCGTGAGTTCAAGCAGGATGTGCCCCTCAAAGAGTCATGAAGACATTCCAATAGTCCGAAAATGAACCCGCAAGGAGGAATGCTTCGTAGTCGCTCGTTATCTCACACGGTATTCAAGACTGATATTTTAATGTGAGAGGCACAATACACTTCCACGTGAACTCCGTGCGGTCGTTCTTCACGTGACATACTCATAGAAATCGATGAGTGAGCGAAGAAGCTATTTTGTGTTCAATGTGATTGAAATTTTGGTTTGGTATCTTCTCTGTTTGGTTATGGAGGTGCTTGTCTGTTAGATTACAGTCAACTTGGGCTTTTCAAGCTCTGAGGAAAGCGAAATCCGCCGAGACATTAGCTTCATAGTGATAAAGAATAAAGTAACACCTCGTGTTTGCTCACCAAGAGCACAATGAATTATATCAATCCCGAATTTCACTCGACGCCGGTCGTGGGAATTTCTTCAAATAAGTTTAAAAACAAGCAGTTGCGGGTTGTTTGGGACGGATGAAGAACGTTCCCACGTTTGGGAACTGAATATTCATAATAAAACTCATGACTGAGCAAGACTCATTGAAGTATCGCGAGAGTACAAAAAACCGCTCTGTCTCACTTTCATCGATTTACAAAAGGCCTTTGATTAAATTGAGATAGAAGCAGTCTTGGAAGTCTTGAAAGTCTTGCCCTTCATTGTCAACGACTCCCTACTCATTGCACAAAGATTTTTCGTGAGCTGTACAAAATTTTCACAACCAAGGTATCACCATTCTACAACGATATTAACATTGACGTTGAAAGAGGAGTTAGGCAAGGGGATACAATCTCGCTAAAATTGTTTACCGCCAACCTCCAGAACGCCATACGAACACTGGAATGGGACAATATGAGAGTGAAAATCGATGGTCGGCAGCTACATCATCTCCGATTTGTTGATGACATCGTCCATATAACACCAAACATTAACCAAGCGGAACGTATGCTTGACACCTTTGATAAAGCCTGTGAAAAGATTGGTCTTCGACTAGATCTCACAAAAACGATGTTCATGAGAAAGAGATTGGTTCCGTATGCCCCATTCACGCTCAAGGGAGCGAATATCTCCTAATGCTCCAGTTATTTCTACTCACCGTTATTGAACTCGCAGTCGAAAGGACTATGCTAGGAGTATTCCGTTTCACGCAATTAAGGTAAGGATCCGAAGCTTCTACCTGCGTCAACGATCAAAAGTCAAAGATGCCGTTCTATACGTCAAACAGACGAAAATATAGACACGTAATGCGTATGAATGACAACCGATGGGCAGGAACCGTTAGTGACTGGACACCTCGTTATGTCCTACTGCAGGAAGACCACCAACTCGATGGTCAGAGTTCTTCACGGAGAGCCTAGAAGAAAGATATGATGCTCAACGAGTCTCTAGAGCGAGCAGAACCCACTGGACTACTCTTGCACGCGACAGGGAAAAATGGAAAATTTACTGGCGCACGCTAGAGTTACTCGACGATCAACGGCACTACAGTTGATATAGGTGGTTTTATTTACAACGTTAGTAATGTAGAAATATTGCATTGAACAACAACGGTAATTTATTTTCTAAGAGTGGAAAGGCAAGGCTTTAAAAAGACTTTTTTAAACGTTTATCAGACGAAAAACCAGAAAGTTTCCAAAATCTTTCTACACGGACTTTTTACTTATATCAGCAGAATTAAACGACTCATCAAATTGTCAGCACTAAGACGAACTCGGTGAGATTTTCGGTCACAAAATGGTCGTCTTCTGCTTTTAGAACTTTTTTTGCCTTGACAAAATCTCTGGAAGTATCTTAATGACACGAATGTTCCCCAGTTTTACGAATTTTCTCCACTTCGACACAGAGTATAACGTAAATGTTGCTTAGCCCAAACGTTACACTTTGTTCGATAATAAAGAAATTTCGAAGTGCAACGAACCGGGACAGTCTCCCCAGTAGATGCAGTGTCCTTCATGGCGAACGTAATTGTCAGCACAAGTGCAGGCGGACTGCTCACATGTAGCTGGACAGGGTGCGGTATCGTACATATTGGCACAGCTTGGTTCACATGCCACACCGCACTTAGCCCATGTGGAATTCGCAGGACAGGACGGCTCGGCCTGGAGTACAAAATTTCAACACTGGAAAAAAGTGATGAGACGTAACTGTACAACTTGCAGTTGCTGCATAGTTAAGCGGTTAAAAAATACTGATACGAGCAAAAAACCTCTTTGTCGCAAAAGTCGAAAGGAACGCAAGTTCCCTCGTCGTTGTTCATTCGAACAAATCCTTCCTAAAACAAATGAGGAAATTTCCAGCTCTTAAATGTCTACAAAATAAACCAGAATCGCCAATGATAGTAGGCCTTTCAGACGTTCTGCACGGAACGATCAGAATGCTTCCATTCTTTTCAATTTGTCCATTTTATTGTTTACTGTACCGAAAACAAGTCCGCCAAGCGCTCTATTCTACGGTTTTATAAAGTTCTATCCTCATTAACTGAACCTTTTAAAACAATTTGATTAAAGCATTTTCAGGTTGAAAAATATCTTTTTTGATCCAAGATGACACTTGTTATTTCTCCAGGCTTCCCCTGTGTTCGAAGTTTTTCGCTCCACTGTTTTAGCCAATTTCAAAAGCCCACCTTACATACACATCTGGCAGTACCGCATGAACGAGGACAATTGGGGATTGTTTCTGGAAATTTCGTCCAGTCGCAGGATGGTTCACAATCTCTTGACATCTCCGGGCATGATGACCACTGCTCGTTCGGGCCGCAGTCATCTCCTAAGCGACATTAACAACAATGTCCAATGAAGAGATAAAGAGAGACATCAACAAAGTACACACTACTGGTTTCATTGGTGAAGACGACGGTGGTCGATGAAGAAGATCTCATGGTTGTAGTCCCAATAGTGGTAGTGCGCACTCGAGGAGTGCTGATAGCAGGCACAGATTCTATCGGCTTTATATCGATTCTGTGTAGCGTTGCTAAAAAGAGAGCGATTGTAATGTTTACTACCCGCAAAATGGATTTCAAGATCTTTTTTCGTTCAACATTTACTTTACAGTGGATAGAAAAGCTTTAGTGAGAACGTAAACGTGAAACGGATTGCTTCTTACATGAAGTATCTGGTTTTTCATCTGGTAATCCCAATTGATCGAAAAGGCGAGGACACTCGAAATGTTGTGGTTTCCAGCCGATGGCCATCCAAGACTGTCCAGGATATCGTAGTACCATCTCGATCTCATCCTTAAGTGTTCTACGTAAAGTGGTGATCAGTATTGACGAATCGTTAATGAAAAGAAGTAAACACCGGTAAAACAATACCATCTAAAATCCCAGCTAGTTCCATAAAATTGCTCTTATCTTTCGCCAGTGAAAGTAACTTCGAAAGACAAATTTACAACAAGGTATTTCGACATTACGACGTTATTCGCACCTTCATCGATGTATGCTTAGATGTTTGCATACTTGGATGGCCAGCCCTCACTCTTTGTGCGGGCGCCAGCGTAATTTCTATTCTTTTGGAGTTTTTCTTCTTTAGCCACTGTGGTTCCCTGGGCTCTCTAGGTCAGTCTAGCCATATTCTGCCCCTTGTCGTCACCACCATAGGCAGTCGCCGCCCTTATGGATCAGAAGTAGATTTGTCACCATGCGACTGGTTCGATACCAAGACGGTGGTGGATCCTGGTGTTTGCTTACTCTTAGCTTGGCTTCCTGTTGGAAACACCGAAATCCTTCTAATCTTGAGAGACCCTGCCGTGGGGACAAATCAACCCGCTCTACATTGCAGTCCGACACCCGGGAACACCTCTCAGCAACGATGAGGCCGTAAACCGTTTGTAGGGAAGTAAATGTGTACTGTAGGAAAACTTACATTCAAGATACGCCAGTAAATTTTGTTGTCTTCGACTTCCTTCAGGCTGTAAAGCGTCTCGTCAAATTCCGAAGCGGAGCGAATAGCCGTACTTTCTGGAAAATTCTCCACTTGTTTTCAAAAGTTCTTCTATGCGCTCAAGAATACCATCTAATGGAAGTTTCTGTCACAAATCAATCTTCTGCTTCTCTATAAACGTTCACCATTCCGAAAGGCTCTCAGAGTGACTACATATTTGGATGGAAATGCCAGCTTTTGTTGTTTCTGATTAGCTTTTCTTAAACACCTACGTTGGTTGACTGTTTTTAAATACATCATGCTGGTTTCGAACCCTCTAATGTCTTTTATTGGGGTTTATTCCGTCCGTTTTATGTATGACGTCTTCTGATTATAACGTCATGGTACAAGGCCAAAAGATGTGACCAGATTCTGTCACACATCACCCAAATAATCACGTTCTGTTGACAGAGAAGCCGAAAACTACAAAGATTAGAGTAACCCTTCTGGCACTTCTCGCCAAATCGGCCTCCAGGACAGAAGCACTCTCTCACACCGTCGTTGGGGTTGGTCTGACACAATCCATGCACACCACAATCGTCGTCGCTCGAGCATTCCGCTGAGAAAAATCAGTAATTGATTGGATATTATCAACTAGCAAAAAGTTCATATTCTGGCAAATGTATAAAGCAACAATGAACTCATGTTTTACTTCTACCTGTTATAGTATTTAGTAGTATTATTAGCATCTAGAGTTAACTTCAATGGATTGGTGACGCAGATTAAAAAATCCAAATTAAAGGTGAGCGCCACTAACGTTGTGATATTCTAACTATGCAATACACAGTTCACGCTCAAATTCATAAAGGTTTTGCCTTTCTATTAGAAAAACCCCTATTCGAGTGCTATGAGTAGCCCGTTACAGAGATTCTCTAGTTGCAAACATCGTGGTCGAACGTGACCTCGACAGCATGATTTGTCTCGGCGATACACTTGAATCAATTTAAATCTCTTAGTCTTACCTTCAAACTGACACTGATCGCCGAAAAAATTCGGCTGACAGTGACAAACGCCGTTCTTTCTTGTTCCGTGCGATAAACATGTGTCGCCATCGGGAATTTCTGGAAAAACTGTTTTTCAACGCCTACTCATACATCCTATGTTAGACGTGAAATGGCTTCTTAGAGTGCAAGAACTTGAACCCTTTTACGCAAACAGGAAGTAATGCCCTCTACGAGTGTTGTGTACAGATTTTAAACCCAGTGCATGCCGAATTCCTATAGAAAGAGTCGACCACCCATTGTCGCAAAAAGTGAGCAATGTCGACCGAAGTGAAAACACGGTGTTCTTCTTATCAAATCTGTTCGTGCAATTTCATTTCCAATTCCAATACCTTTCAAACACTTTTTGCCGATGAACGGATCGAGCTACTGCGCATCGACCTGGATATTACTGAATTTCTCTTTCTGTTTTGAGATTGATCAATCTCGTGTTGGCCGCCTTGACGTTTAGAAATATTTTTTGTTCAAGGAAACGTTTTTCTAAACACGAGGGCCAATGATGTTAACACCTGGATACATATGAAATTTCCTTGAAAGTCCGATAGCGGTCAGACAAATTGAATGTGTTGTACACGGTATCGTGTTGTTGGTCTCTTTAGAGTTATGAGGCCGGCTCAAATGATAAAAAGTAATTTTTCTAAAATGGTAACAAATTAGATAATTTAGGCAATGATTAAAACTCCACAAAACTTTGAACATAGTCCCGCTTCATTAACATAATCACCCGAGGTTCCTAGGTAAGCTACGGGGTACGGGAGCGTATATGGAAACGGTTAGAGGCGCACAGTGGTGCACATCTGGTCGTTGATTTGCCTAGGATCCTCCTTAACATTAATCCCTCTATCATTCCGAGATCAGCAAATTAAAACAAACTTGCTTGAGAGGAAATAACATTGATTTTGATATATCAGGAGGCCTACATAAGTCACTGCATACCCACATATGCGTTCAATCTCCTCTAGAATGATTAATTGAGTTGGACGCATGGCGCATCTCTAAGGGTTTGGTCTAAGGGGACGTTATCTATCTTTCAGCATTTTAAAGAACAATTTCGTCAGGTAAAAAAAGAAGACACAACGTAGACATGAAATCCCCATATCTGGACTACCTTTCACGAATATTTAGCATGGCATCCACAGGTCACATCACGGCTTGCTTTCGAGTTTTCAGAAATTTACCGTATTAGGATCGGCGACGAGCATCCTTTTTTCCCGGTAATAGCCATTTTCGATGAACGACAGTGACGCATGCAAAAATGAAGGTCTAACAGATGCGTTCAATAAATCTAACTGGCTGACAGACTGGTTCGTTCAAAGGTTAAGGTTAACTGAGCAGTAAAACACAGTGATGCATAAAACCATACAACCTTCGTCGAAAAAAATCGATAATTTTCACTAAAATCATCTGAGACTTTGGTCTTTCAACTGATTATTCCAAACTGAAACTGGAGGTTTCAACTGATTATTCCAAATTTCTAAAGCGAGGAATGGCTTCAATAGTTTTGTAGCGTAAAAGGGAAAACCGTAACAATGTACCGGTTCATCATGGCTAAGGGCTTCTCTTTGACCACAGTTTTCAGGTTGTATTTACTACCTGCTTTTTTTTCATTGCGTGGCATTATGTGAAATACAACGAGGATGGTGAGACATGAGCAGAACTGGGTGCCACAGAGGAGTTTGGAACCCACGGTTACCCTTACCGGGGCTCACGTGATATCCACTACACCAACCGATGATCTCACATCGTCTTTCTCTCATTCAGTTTTTACTCCAACGGTGCTATCAGCGATCACTCTTCAACGAGAATATCACTTTCCACGAGAAAATAGAAGGCAGTGAACAAAGGTTAAGCACTGCAATTTCGACTGCTGTTTCAGCTTAACTTGCTTCAGTTTTAATGTCACCAGGTCATTCCCGCGCACGACTGACTGCTGATAAGAGTGAAGAATTTGTAGTAATTCCTCATCAGTTAGATGTTGAGATAACGAGAAAGCATTTTGAAGATCTTTACTTTATCGCCCATCACATGGGAAAGAATTTAAAAGTCAACGTCGAAAATTAAACAACGAATGGGTTAAAATGGCCAAAACGGCAAACTTAAAACCATCAGTCATCTTTTAATTCAAAGATGATTTACACATATGTCTGTCATATATTTACTTATCAAAACTCATAAATTGGTATCCTGTGATGAACTTGTGTTCACCGGTCCATCTTTATTCAAGGTTAGACCCACCGTTAGCTGTGTAGACTAGTCAACGGATAGAATCACGTGGCTTCCAACCATAGTATCTACCCAACTCTTAAAACACATACTTAGTGGAAACCTCATAGGAAGCGGCTCTAAGGAAGGCGAAATCCGCCGAAACGTCAGCTTAATCGTGAACAAAGAATAATAACACCTCGCGTTTGCTCAACAGAAATACGAAGAAAATTTCTTAAAACACACTCCAGGCCATCCTACAAGCAGCCGCATGTTCCTGGATCGTCTAAGTAACGCGCGTCATAACAGCGCGTATGCGATGTAGTCGTCAATAGGTGTTACCACCCATTATTCAGACGTGGAGTATGACTCCGCTGTTCAAGCAAGCCTCGATCTCTTTATACAATTGTTTTTGTTGGCAATGGGCAGCGGGACAGCGATTGGCACCAAGCACGTCCATTGCACTTATGGCCAAGGTGGAAGTGCTAGTAATACCATCTTCGCCCACTAATATACCATAGAGTTATAGACGATTGTTTTGCGTTCGTTCCACACAAGTGAAAATGGAAAAATATTTTGAGTTATTGAACGAAGAGTCAGAATACGTATTGTTGACTAGAGGGAAACCGAAAGAAAATTACCTTTCACTTTTGAACGTTCAAATCAACCTGTTCGAAAACGGCTACATTACGAACTGGTACCGAGAGCCAAGTAGTAAAAACATAATGGTTCATTACCTCTCCTCTCACACCTCAAGCACCAAAAGGGCGCTTGTAAGAAACATGTTTTCAGCAGCTACCAGTGTGTGTACAGGAAGTGAGTAAAAGTAGGAATCCCGGAAACTGACGCAGTAAACAGCCTTTTCTAATGGCTTCGAAACTTTAACTCCTTCGTACAGGTATAGAGTAAAACCCAAACCCTCAAACTACAACTCCAGCGGTAAGAAGGTCTCGATCCTTTCTTGAAAGCATATTTCTAGTTTAACACGATGGCTTTCTTTGTGTGATATGGAGTAGCTCGAGCTTCTCCAAGCGTAATTCTTCACTTGACACCTTACTAGTGAAGTTTCTCGAAGCATAGACGCATTTAAAAGGACGTGAGAACATGACGGTTTCTGTGAGTCATTCAAGAGCAGTGATCAAACGTTAGCGCTTTACTTTTACTCTTTATAGGCAACTAGAAAAACAACAGCAATTGAGCCATTTTGGTTGATTCCTTAAAAAGAACACGCAGTAATTTACTTACCTTTAAGAATGTTCACGTCAGCGCAACTGTAGAAAAAGTAGTCATTGCCGTATTCGGTGGCTTGATGGGTGATTCTGATCGCACAGTTGGCGCATTCGAATCCTGGCGGCAGGACGATCTGCCTCCCGGATTCGCTAGAACAACGAAATCATTTCACTAAATGAAGTCCACCATTTCCTTAATGTGAATTTTCGCTTCTTTCGATATACAGAAATTCTTGTTCATTCTTTTTTAAGCGCGGCATTCCTTTCTGACTGAGTTATTTAAGAACGTTTGACACGCGATAGAAGAAGTGCCATATAGAAACTTCAGATGAATTTGTCCATGCAAAACTGTTTGTAATTCATTTTTTCGTGTGAAAGATGAATCATTCACGTGATTATTGTGTTCCACTTCACTATTTATAGCAATTTGAACGGCTACGTTTTCTTCTGCAATTGAAATAAACGATCATAAAACGTGAGCATACGTGACATTATAGGGGTCAAGGAAATTTGTGAAGATCGCTATGGGCTCGTCGAGCGAGTTCAGTACTTCGAGTCGAATCCCTCCCTGAAAAGAAAAAGAATCAGTGACGCTCAATTGCCTCTAATCCATTCGTCAACGTGCTTTGAATATCCTTGAGGAAGAACATGCGTGAGACGTTACGTAGAGTTCCACATTTTCTTAGGGAAAAGAGGATCGCGCACGTAAAATTTTGTTCAGTCCTAAATTCACTGCAATCCCAAGCGATTGATTTCCATAAAAAAAAATTATCGCATCGTCTACATTACCTACTCGTTTATGGGTTATGTAGACTTTGTTTGAGCGCATTAACATCATCCTGCAAGTGAGGCAAAGTTCTCATCATCGTTCATTTTCAGATGATCTTTTTGCGCCTACTTTGCTACGACTTATCTTAACCCTGCGATTTGTAACCCGACACAAGACGACTACAATTACCTTGACCCCTAGATCGATTACGCGATATCGATATGCGGCTCGACGTAATTGGTGGGATTATAAGCAGATAACGTCCGGCTCTTGCCGAACGACTAAGGGGCTACCAGCCCTGTCATCAGTCGTTCTCACACATCCAGCACTATAGTTTAACTACAGACAAATGTGAACAAATTTTTGACAAACTTAGCCGCTGCCGAACGACTTGCCAAAGCAAGTTTTCTTAATAGTATATCAATGAATTGCTCGCTTGTCCTAGAATTGTGCAAAAATCGAAAAAAGAACCATATGTTGGATACACACTCGAGAATACGTGGACTAGAAAGCACGGGAAAAAGTGAAGCAAAAGAACAAAAGAAGTTTAAGATTTGGGCTACGAGGTTAGGACCGGCATGTTTTTAGCCAGCAATGATGCCGATATTAAGCACGTTTTCGCTGAATAGGTCTGAAAACCTTATTTTAAAGCAAATTCACCATATGAGGAAGTCCCGTGGACCATTGAAGATCGATTGTAGAACCGGCCTTCAGAAATGTTCTCAAGCCTAAAACAATTTTACTAGATACTTTATTAAAATGCCTCGATGACGACCTTGAGATTTATTTCTCGTGGTTGTATTTTCCCCGTCAAGGAGATGCGTAATATGGCGACGGTGGCAGCGGCAACCACGAGATTGTTAGGAAGTGTTTTTCCAATTGTCGACTGATTTAAAAGAAATTCACATTTATTTCTGAATATGTTGTTTTTGAGCTACTCATTCAGCGGGAAATATCTCCGAGAATAGTTGGAAGTGGGACAGCACTAAGAAAGAAACCGTTGTGAAGGTGAATGAACACGATACGTGAATTAGCCGAAAAATATTTCAGATCAGAGTTGTCTCCCAGAAAGGCCCATGGCTGAATTGCTTTATTTAAAGTTAACGCTGACCCCTTTACGAAGTAGCCTTAAGGTATTTTTGTTTCCGTATCCGAGTATACTTTAAGCTCTCGCCACCGTACTAGTTTTCCAGCACCAGCTGACGATTTCCGAACCACTAGAACAGTTGAGAAGTTTAAAACTTTCCAAACCCAAGCAAAATGAGGATTCGAGCAAGGATTTCAAGTGTACATGTTGCATTTATAAAACGTTTTTTCGATTTTAAACTAGTTAAGTTTAAAACTCTGTGGATCTGACATCTCAATGCAAATCTTGGTAGGCAAGTGAAGCGCCCAAGAAATACCAACGATGCTTCCGAGGACATCAACGTGTCCTACTGCGCCATCTCAGCTGCTTTAAATTGATTTTCTGTTCGAAATAGAAGCTTTGATAGAAAAATACGGGTAATAGGTCGCTTTGCTCCAGAAAGCCACAATTTCACCTTAGTAAAATACCAGAAACTTACGTCTGGTTGTCAGTGATCTGCAGATTCTACTGGTTTTTATTCCAAATTAAAGGAATCATTACGAGCTGAGTGACTTTAGGAATTAAAATGGCTCCCATTTTCGCATCACATTCCTTAAAATCAATGTCCCGCGAATTTCTTAAAGAAGATTTGGCGCTGATGAAGTCTTATTTCACAGAGGACAATGAAAACGAACGGCTTCTAAATAACTTCAAAAAGGAACATTTGTGTGTGCCAGAATACCTGAAGTTTCATGACTTTCTAGTGAAGTGCCGAATTCCGACAATCCCTGAACACGTGTCTCAAAAGTCACGCATCGGAGACTGAACGAGTTGTGTGTTATGAAGTATTGGTTTTGTGTTGGTGTCGAGTTGTGTTAGTTATGTTATCTTTCTTATTTAGTACATTTGGAATAGCCACGGTCCCATAACTCGAGTTACTCGTAAGTTTTGTAACAAGAAACGTTTTCGGTTGTTCCGCGACTAATCAAAACGCAATCAAAAGATTAGTTGCGTATATTTCTGTGTTGCTGAACTAGAAGAATGAGCAAGAACATCTCTTAGCACTCTTAAGAGTTTGCTGATTTGTAGAGTCTTTGTTCAAATTTACATGATTCAGGCAGAAGCTTGAGGTCGAGCTAAAATGTTGAACGCCGTTCTTCTACAGACTATATCGAATTTATGTTGTGAAATTCAAATTAGTTTCCCTTTCACCGACAAACTGGTTTCATATTTAGGCAATAAATCTTCTTCCAAAGAATCATTAATATTTTCAGTTGGTTTTCTGGAATAGAGTGTGATGGAGCTGTTCTCTATAAAACCTTAAAAAAATTATTCAGTGGTTTCCTTTTTTGTTCTACTTTTTTTTGGTCCACTTTCTTCCATCTTCTAGCAAAATACTCTCTCATGAATTCGCTCGCTTTTTAGTCGTTTTCGCGAAAATTATATGATCGAAAAGACTGAATAGAGTTGAGAGGACCTGTCCCAAGTGATGGCTTGGGGGAACCGCATGGCGTACGACTGTTGTAGGAGTTGTAGTAGTCGGTACTGGGATAGCGAGCCGGTGGAAAGGTGAGTCGTACGTGAGCCATGCATCTGCCCACCACCAACCAGAAGAGCACCCACCATTTCATCTGAGACGGCAGTAGGATAAAACTACTGTTTTCCATATAACTGCTCGACAATAAATGACAAATACGAAACAGAACTGGTTTTACTGCAGGAAACAGCGAAAAAACTGTAAATATAAAGGCCAAAGGAGACGTTTCTCAGATGAAAGACGAGAAAACCAGTAGGAAATAAAATCGGAAAGAAGAGGGCCAAAGAATGGAGAACAGAGACAAAAAATAATGCGACATGAAACTGGAAAATGGACGAAAAACTCATGAGAGTGAAGTGTCAACGCTTCGCACCGCTCGGAACTACAAACGGCAAAGTTTTTTTGAGGTATTGGGCGTTCACTTAGGAGAGTGGCGCTTATAATATAAAAGCTGTAATATTATCTCTAATAAATAAACTAAAATAATTTAAACAAATACTAGAAGTGAAACGAAACACTGTCCATTTCGTGAACAACGAGAGGCGCTAATGGGAGTTTCAGTCCTATCTCTGCAATATCTACGGGGCTAGAGATCACGCTCGAGGAAGCGGAATAAACGACGAAACCAGTAATATAATTTTCCCGAAACGCTTGATCGTGATTAGCGATAAGTGCTCGAAAAACGAAGGACGTGAGATGGGGCGACTTTAAAGAGTAACAAAATGAGCGATGAGGCGTTCAGCGGAGGAGGTGTGGATTCGATGAGTTTAAAGGAGGAGTGTAAGTTCTTAATGGGCGATAATGCCATTAAATACCGTCAATTGCTTTCGACAACATCTTGGCAGAAAATCGAAGCACTCTGAAGAAGAGCCGCTTCTTTAGATTGAAGGGAAAGTGAAAAACGAGAAAACAAGGAAATCGCGCCACACCACGCTACTCAGCGATTTCACTTCACGTGTAAAGGAATCTTTCGTTCCTGCTATCGAATATCTGAAATGTTTTTTAATGCCCCAACTCATCTCGCTATTTTGCTTATTTATTTCTTCTTTCTTGTATTTTTTAAACTTTATTCAATCTAATTAAAATGGGAATCTTTCCAGTCGACTGAAAATTTCATTGCCATTCTTATCTGCGTAGCTCACTTCCACATACAAAACGGATAAATGATGAAGCGTTTCGGTGTTAACCAGTAATGGTACATGCATAGTGGATTCGACTTCATTGAGCAACGTAGAGATGGATAAATGCGAGTTCTTACACTTTACTAAGTTAGGGCTATTTCTATACTCCCAGAAAAATTCACGCCCAATCTGCGATCCTTGCAGCGATTGGCAGCTTCGTTAATTGGGAGGCGGGATTTAACCAAAAAACGCGTTATGTGTTTCAGGGTATCTCTGACTACTACGCTAGGTGTACTCTTTCAAATAAACACAGAGGTGCAATAAATGTAATTGACCAAATGGTCAACTAAAATAATCCATATGATGTAAGGGGCAAGCTACTAGTTTTTTTAAAGTGAGAAATTCATACAATACTAATGCTGCCAGTGCACGGTTGTGCGTCGGTGAGTTGTTGTCTGGAAAAGGAAGGGCGTACGCGCTGAGGGGCAATCTTAACCTCAAATCGGGTAAGACGGTCAAGAGGGAAAAGTACCGTTGCTCACGCAGACACCGCCTGCAGCGCTGGCAAAAAATGATGGCATCTGTCTCCTCATGAAAACTTCCGGGCCATTTGGTCGAGCATTTTCGCCGCTTGGCAAACTTTTAAAAGAGAAATTGAAATATTTCAGTACTTGATTCATATGTTACGGAAGTGCAAATGAAACGCTAAAAGAACGTAATTCTATTGACAACGCGGTAGACGTGAAATTGGAAGTGGTATGGTGCTCTGGTTTTCAACCATATTTTGCTTTCCAGTTACCACAGTTTCAAGAACAGAAAAAAATTAGCTTCCAGTGTTCAACATGCGCTCATAGGAGAGAGTAATGAGTACTACTTACTCCACTGAGATGGAAGAGTTGTTTCTTTTCCCCTTTTGTGAACTCTAAAAGATGAAATCGATTAAGACCATTTACGAAATGGAAATAAGGTAACAATGGAATAACAGGGTGTGATTGAGTGTCTGAAAAAAATACGATGTGAATGTCTCATTAGAAAAGGAGAGCGCTATTAGTGGCGGGGCTAGTGAAGGAGTTGCGTAAGACTCTTCGAAGGTCGTCGGTACTGGCCAATAAAGCGCAGATAAAAAATAGCTGTGGTAACCGAAGAAAGGCCATTCGGCAATGTGGCTATAACTGCCACTCACTTTAGAAAGCAGAACTTCTCTAAATGGCACGACCGACTTTCTATTGAACAAAGAATAGTAACACCTTGCGTTTGCTCAACAAAAATACGAAGAAAATCACTTTCTCTAAATGGGTTTTGCTAAGGAATTATGGATATAAAAAGGTATGCTATGATAGCACCGAATACCAAATGCGGTTAAGAAAATGAAAGGGAGAGCTTTCATCATAGCCCCAAAGAACTGATTACAAAGGCACAAATGACTAATTCATGACAGTAAAGAGAAGGGAGGAATAGATGAACGGCTTATGAAGTGGGTGTTTAAGGAACAAATTTTCAACGATTCAAGGTTGAGATGCAGAGTTACAGTGCGAGGTTAGTGAAGGAGTTGTGTAAGACCGTCGCACGATACTGGCACTTAATGGAGTTATATTTGAAAACGCTTCAGTCATAAATCTTAATTTACTCTCGTTGGGACTAAGGTGAAGTCAACTTGAAGAAAGTAATTTTTTCGAGAGACAAAACTATTGGTAATGGGCTTGTATCTGTCTGTCCATATCCTATTTGTTACGCTGCTTCTGAATCTCCCTATCTTGGCGTCAACGACGTTAGTCACATCGGATTACGCTATTTATGCACGAATAGCCTCCGATTAATGCAGAGATTACAAATGGTGACGGCGAAGTGGACAAGTTCATAAACGGTTAGTTCGCAATGGTCCCAAGAAGGAGGAACAATCTTTTGGCTATCCACATGACCAGTCATCTGGCAAAAGAACTCCTGTGGATTAGACGTTTTCGCTGGAAATGATTTCTTAAGAATGCTAAAGCACAGAAACTAACAAGTGGACCCGACGACAGTGGCGTAGTTGGAAAATTAGGTCGCGTAATGCGGGTGCCACCAGGCAATTGTTGATAGCAAACGAAGGTCGTCGTACCACATTCGACTAAGTTCGCCGTAGAAAAAGGCAAAAATTTTTTATTAATTAGTCGTAGCCCCGATGAAGGTGGCGGCAGATGGGCATCGTCATAGGAAAAGATATACTTAAAATAGACCCCATATTCAGAACCTCTCTCCGAATGGACTGAAAATATGAAAGTAGGAATACTGCGTTGTAGTAGAGTTCTACTCATGCCGATTACTGATCAGTTCATTCAGCAAAGCATGCCTTCGACTATTTTCTTAGACAGTCTTGATTACGATAGTTTTATCCTTAGTAGAGCATCATGTATAACATCTTTAGAAAAAAATTGTTCAAAGAATATTTGTTAACTGTAAAGTGAATCGACCGCTGGTTGTAATGCTGACGCACCATGCGCAAGTTGATCTTGACTGAAAAAATAAGCGATTTATGATTTTCCCCAAATCACTATATGAATACATAGTGAATAAATAAATGAGCTAATAGAACTGTGGCTGTTTGATCTGATTTGAATACTGAGCTGTTCTTTGTCTAGACGCCACTTCGAAATAACGAACGACTGTGGAACACCGAAAAGGATCATCGGCTCTGATGAAGACGAAGACGCACCGAAAGTTAGCCGAATAAACCTTATAAACCTCGTGTAAGTTCAACAATTTAAACACACTAAGCCGTTCATTGTTTTGAATTTTAGCATGAGAAAAACATATGAATTCAAAAGCAGAAAAAGGCAATTGTGTTTTGGATCAGGCAAGTACATTTTCGATAAGAAGAGAAAAGAATCACAAGCGGAAACAATAAACGAAACTTAGAAACTTCTAAACCATCACAGATTTTCGCAAAGGTGGTAAACTTTAGGATTAGAAGTCATTGAAGAACTAGAAGGTTTTAAAAAATGACGATTAGATTGGCGCTCGAAATTCACCTCGTCTAAAGGCGACAATTCAGAAGTATGGTGAAAATAAGAATAACAGACGAGCAGGACCACCTCTCAACAAGATTTCGCGTTTTCTTTGCAAACGTTCTGTTCGACGCACCATAGTGAAAAGGAATATAGATTTAACTACACGACAAAGTTGACAGTTGCTTAGAAGAGCACACAGTAAAAGCTTTAGCAGGACCAGAATCGCCACCACGTCTACAAAGTCTGGTTATAGTCAACATGCGACAGATTTACTACAATATTTGAGCAGAGACACTACTACGATGCAATATAAAACGTCGGAAAGTGACGAGGCCCTTGCACTAAAGTCATAATCGTCTACTTAATTCCAGACTACGTTTCTAATAAGCTACATCCACTAGAATCGGAAATATGAGCATAATGGGAAATACCGTGTCCATGCATAGTCTATGACTCTGGGTAAAGGCAGTGGGAGAGTCGAAAGGGTGGGGCCGTGACCTAGAAATCCGCGACGAAACACTGTTTCAGGCCATGTGAATAAGAAAAACGTCAAACTTTGTGGAAAATAAGTGTGAGCAAATCTACAGAATGTGACTTGTGAATGTCATGACTCTGTCAAAAACGATAGATGCGGATTGCTTCGTGGAGTAACTAGTAACCAAGAAAGGTTTGGTTCAATAGTAGGCATGTTGCTCGAAATCTTCTTCATCTTTGTATGATCTGCGATTTTTTAATCAATTATCCACTGGAAAATAAAATACAATAAAAAACTTATTCGTCTATGAAGTTCAAAACCAAATTAAAATTCGTAATTTTGCTAACTAAGTGAATTTTCTACCTGAAATATAAACATAAAGAAGGTTACTAACACAGTCTTTCAGAGCTAGATATACCCCTTAACTTTAACCACATGTCTCACCTAGATGCTTTGCTTCTCATTTGCCATACGCTTCGTTTCTCCAATCGTTTCATTGTCTTACAGCGGTCACCATGGTTCAATCCTACCTTGATTTGATTTCGGCTCCATGTTTGTTATTTGTTCGCTTAACAAAAAAAAGCGTTATACCTTTTTATTTTCTGCCTACTATAATTTCGCGGCAGGGTACTAAGCGAAATACAACCACAACGTTGCTGAGATATTTGCAAAACTCTGGACCGCAGGTGTCTATGGTGGGGAACGAACGCGCTATTGTCCTTTCCGGGGAGTAACGCGTTCACCACCACACCATGCAAGTCCTTCGTTTTCGAAATGAAAAAAAAGAGTTTTTATACTGATTAAACCGTTGTATTTCACTGGAAATTTCAGGGTTTCCTTTCCTGGATGTTATCATGTGTTCATCAAACGTAGTCTCCGGCCTCTGTGAATTGGGGAAATGTTTGCTGCCTTGCGATTTTTGTGAACGGGGTCGTCATTTCGTGTAGTTTCGCCATAAATTCCGCAATGAGGATCTGAAGTCTTAAGTGAGGTTTAGACTAACACAAAGGTAGATAGGGTCTATAACGCAGTTTTCAGACTTCCAGTACTTTGATTTCTCAAGGCCTAACGAATATTTACATACATGTGTGCTCATACTGTTGAGCTTACACGAGGTTGATGACGAAAATTATTCGGCTAACGTTTCGATGTTTCGTCTTCGTCAGAGCCGATAAACCTGTTCGATGGTTCGAGTTTGCTATTCGCTATGTGCTAATTCACATACATTGTTTTAGCGCCCATTTATTTCTGTGTAAACGAATGTGTAAATAGTTTTCGACCTGACCCCGCCGAGACTGGAATATTGCCCTCGTAGGTTTGAAACTACCACGTACAGGAGACGATTTCCTTCACTAGTACTAATGGTGAGAAGGATTTCGACAATTTCACTCAGAAGCTTGGTTTTCGGTAACTCATTGTTAATAATAGCAGCTGGCGCCGTCCCGGATGCAACCCACATAGACCCAAGACGTCAAATGTCTATTGGTACATTAATGAAACACG